TATTATTATTATTATTATTATTATTATTATTATATATATATATATTATATATATAATAATATATTATTATTATTATTATTATTATTATTATTATTATTATTATTATTATTATTATTATTATTATTATTATTATTATTATTATTGTTATTATTATTATTATTATTATTATTGTTAATTGTCATTATTAATTATTACCTTTCTATTATTTGAATATTCATTAAGTATTTTTAGCTACAATCTTCTTTTCTAATGCTTAATTTGAGAAATAAGCATTGAAATTTTGATGTAAATGTAAGTTATACGTTGACAAAATAATACCTCTTATTTATCTCACTTGATATTTGAGAGTTATAATTGTTCTTATATTAAACTATTGCAATTATAGAAAAACGATCGATTATCATTTTCATCATCCTCAGTGACAGTAGCAACAGCAGCAGCAGAAGGTTTAGGATCATCAAAAAGAGTTGAAAAATCATCATCTCTAATATTATCTGATTCGGATACTGATGATAAGCTTCAACTTTCTGCATCAACATCGAAATTAATCCGAATGCAGCTAAATAGAACATTAGAATGTCGATTATTGGCTAAATGTTTGAAGGATGTAGCTGCAAAAGCGATTACCGGGGATGCACCAAGTGTCAATCGTTTGTTAGGATGTCGAAGTAAGCTGTGCATTATTGTTATGTCGTGTAATAGTAGTTAATTATTTGGGTAATGTGACGTCAATTAATTTTTTTTCAGTAGTTAAGTAATTTATTTTTTATTTACTGTTACAGAGTTATGCAATACTTTGATAAGTTAATGCAGTAAAGTGATGCTACTCAACTAATTACTCAAGTACAGATGGACTATAATTTGAATTTGATTAGTAAATAAATGTATTCATAGAAGATATGTTAGATTAAGCAATGTAAGTCAGTAAAGAGCATAAACTTAACCTAAAAAAAGAATTTTGAAGAGAAAAAGTGGAAAGAAAAATTTGTTTCGTTATTGATGATTATAATAGATTTTTTTTTTGAGATGTATTTGACACTTTTCATAAATCTATATCAAAAAACTTACATGCAATTCTTGCTTTAATATTTTTCCTTTTTTTTTTTTGCCTGCTTTAGTAGTCTTTTTTTTTCATTTACAGGTGATTCGATGTCAGAATCGGAACCAGAACCTGTAATGAATGATGCAAGTATAATGTCATCAAATTGTGCTGAACGACATATTCGAAAGATTACGGAAGATTTGGAACGAATTGAGAAAGATTTAAATTCATTGCGTGAAAGTTTTGTGGAATATTATCAGAAGAAAATTGCGGATGAACTAAAAGAAGACGAATCATGCCGTATTCAATAAGCAATTTTGTTTAATATATTTCTTTAAGTGCGGATACATTTGATGGGTCAGCAGTTTATCAGGAAAATTTCAACTTCTCTTATGAACAAAAAGAAAAAAAGAAGTATTACTATAAAGTGGTCCTTTCTCCATGTCTTTCTACCAAGTATCATAATATTCATTCTTAAATTTTGTATCCAAAAATGTATACATATATTGGTTTAAACAACTGAATAAGAATTATTTCATCTCAAAATTCATTTAATAGACAAATTGATATTTTAATTCATATGAATATCTTACATTCTTGCAATAAATCTTCAAAAAAAGAAAAGTTGAAAATTTTCAAATTATTATTGGATTCTCATATAATTCTTTTTTTTTTCAAAATTACCTTTCTAGTTTTTTCCAATGTTTTTTTTTTCATGCATGGCTTTAAAATGTTGCATTTTACGTTTTTGCTTTGATTCATTAAATATGTTCTTTTATTGTTTAACGGAGGTTTCAAATGGAAATGAATCTCAATGTGTATTTATGGTGATGAAAATTTTATAGATGAAATTCAAAAGCTAATTTAATTACATTTAACACTTGAAAATTTCAAACTTAATTACATCCAAGCACTTCTCATCCCAAATCCTTCCAACCATTCTTTTGTTTGTGTGTGTTTTTTTTTTTTGAATAATTAATTATTTGTTAATTGCTTAATTTGCTCAGAGTGCATTATCAGAGGAAGAAGTGCATCTTCAACAAATGATTTGCAAAATTTATCACGCTATTTTTGCATTTTTTTTTTCTTTTCCTTTTACTCGGGTATGTGTACTTTTTACTTATTTAATTTTTTGGTTTTGTTAAAAGAAAATTTTGGAATTTCATACAAAAATTTTTTGCAAAATCTTTAAATTATCGTAAAATTCTTAAAATTTCTTTTATCATTGTTCAGACACTATAAAAAAAGAAAAAAAAAATTCCAGACGTTTTGTGCAAAATCGTTTTTACAGAGAAAAATTAATATCATACGGTTGTTAAACATATGCTCTTCCAGTTTCAATTTTTGTTTTTTTTTCTTTTTTATTAAAGAGTATTTGCTTGAATTCTTTTTTGCAAATTGAAATTGATAACATTTGATGTTTTGTTATTGTAAATGAATGATTATTAGCGTTATTATCATTATCATTATTATTATCGTTATCACTTATCACTGATAAATCTGTTCGATTAAATATTTTCACTAGTTCCTTTCCTATTATTAATAATGTAATCCAAAACATAATATGAATTTAATAAATGTAAGATTTAATTAACTGATTTCATTTCAATTTTTTTTTCTTTTTCTAGTAATAAAATTATATACTATACTACTTAATGATGCAAGCATATGGAATATTTGACTTTGAATTTCTTGATTTTATGGACTAATTATTTAATTAGCAATAAGCTACTCATGCATTTGATAAACAGAGTTTTCCATTTTTGATTTTATTTACTCAACGATTTCCTGATTAATGAATGTTTATGGGATAGTAAATTCTATAAATGTAATCTCTTTGATCTCTGATTAAAGAAAATAATTATATATGATGTTCTACTGATCGCAAATTAAGCTTTTCATTATAAAACTGATTTATAAAGTATTATTTATAAAAAATTACAAAGTAGTAATTTGGAAGTAAGAGGACAATTTTAGTTCTAAAATGTATGTGTGTAATTTGCATATGAAAATTCCATCGAGATAAATATCATTTCTCAAACTTTCTGTCGAGATTTTTATAATTTGAGAAAAATTGGAAAATATAATTCGTTATAAAAGTGGAAAGTTTATTCTTTTGTTAATTTTATTTATATTTATATCATTTTGGCTTTAATTAATACCAAATAATATTTAATGCATAATTATTTCAACTTTTTCTTTTCTCACTCTAAAGTTTAAGCAATTTCCACGAATCTGACTTTTTTTTGGCACAGAGAAAGATAGGATTTTCCTGAATAGTAATTCAGGAAAATTATTCATCATCTTTGGGATTATCATTATTATCGTTTTTTTGCATAGCAAAACAATTTTTTCGAATACAATTAGAAGAGAAGAAAGCTAAGAATTTTGTGTCCATTATTTTGCATTCTTTATCCTTTAGGATTATTGTTATAATCGTTTTCTGGATAGCAAATAATTTTTCCGGATACAATTAAAAGGGAAAAAAACTGAAGATTTTCAATATATTGCTTTGCAGTTTTTACCTTTTAGGGTTATTATTACCGTTTTCCGGACAATGAACAACTTTTCCTGATAGAATTAGAAAGGAAGAAGCTACGTCTATTTCGTGCACGAAATATATAGCTTTATGCTATAATAAAATAATCAAAGATATGATGTAATATGATTGTGCCTTCCGGCAGGAAAAAAAATTCATATCTTTACTTTCAGGAAATCTCGGATAGTTTAAAAGAGAAAAAATTTATTTTTGTGTGTCGTCACCACCCAATAACAGATCATCTGCAATGGTTTGTTTTGGATGACTGTCATCATTACCATTACCGTTACCACCAATTTTACCTTCACCAGGTTGTACTTTTGCAATCTCTTTCAGCACTGGTACTGGGCCTCTAAAAATTTTTAATATTTACTAAAGAATAAAATTTCATTTCAAAATTTTCAAAATTAAAAATAAGCTTATATTATAAGCAACATAACTCATAATTTTACTTTTTATTTTATACTTTTCATTATCTTAATAGCATTATCAATTTAATTCTATACTTCTACAATATTTTGGATCCTTTTTTCTTTCATTTCCTATAATTTTATTCATTACATACAAGAAAAAATCGAATTTACTAATTTATATTTTAAGAGAATGTATAAAATTAAGAAATTAAATGAAATTAATTAAAATAAAAATTGAAAAAAGTGTAAAATATAAAGGATAAAAAAAAAATATTGGTAAAAAATGATAAACTTTTGCAAGGGATATAATAAAAATAAAGAAAAAAAATTAGTAAAATGTTGTAAAGCGTTAGAAAAAAGTTGCGAAACAAAGATAAAAAAAGAAAATTTGAATGAGAATTTTAAAACTTTTTATAAAAAATTTCCGGAAAAAAATGAATGAAATCTTGCAAAAAAAACATACGAATCAGGCGTAATTTTGCCATGTCTGTCGTTTGTATTATTGTTAGGATGACGAATTATTTCATTTTTACCGGAATTTGCCGGATAAAGACGTATCGGTGGTTCATTTGGTGTACTATCTTCACTCATAAATGCTGCTAAATGTTTATTTTTGAATGAACCAAGCAATGTTGGCGTTAGCAAACTTAATGCAAGCATTACGGAACCGGTAGCAAACATACATAATCCTGAAAATCGATTAATCAATAATTGCCTTTTAAACTTATACTTTTTAAAATTTATTTTCACTTTGCTAAGATCAATTTAAGTTTAAATTAAAATGAGGTCAAAGTTTTCATATTAAAATTAAGTTTTAGTTGAATCAATATTGTTATACGAAGCGAAAGAATCAAAATTTATTTGATTCAAATATTACACTGAAAAGTTATCCCAATAAAGGCACGAAAGTGGCAAAGTTTTCAAAAATTTAAATTAACCTAAAAGAAAATAAAACTTTTCCCATTAAGACTAAAACTTTCCTACTGAAATTAAAATGTTGAATTGCTCAATTCAGACTGCTGAGCAATGAAAGGAACAGGCCTTAAATCAAATCAATTCAAATGTTATATTGACAATTTATTTTGAGAAAAAAATCCAGCCATGACAGAATTTCTTTTTCAATTTTGCTATGATTTATTGTATAAAAAAAAAATTTGGCAGTTAAAAAATTTGAAAGAATATGAAATAACAAAAAAAAAAATAATGAAATAAATTTTTTCAAATAATTTAAATAAAGCAGAAATAGCATCAAATTTTGATATTTTGGAAATTTGCTTTAAAAAGTGTGTCGAAATTTGTTTTTCATGTTCTCATTAAAGATGATAATGTCAATTCATTAATCTGATAGTATATGTTCATTCAATCAATTAATCAAATCAATGTGCTAAGGGTCTTACATTTTTAATTTCAAACTATTTCATTATTCATTTTTTTTGCTTTCTCTAATGGTTCAAAATGCATTTTTTTTAATTTAATTGAATTTTTAAAAAATTTTAATATTAAAAATTTTGGATAATATTCAATGGATGCAATAATTAGTTCTTATTAAATGATTAAATATTTTGGGAGGTTTTTTCAAAATAGATTTATTGTTGGAAGAGGAGGAAGAAAAAAGATAAAAAAAAAAGAAAAAGGTGTTGTAAATAAATAAATCTTACCAAACATTTTCCAACGACGCATTGGATCTTTTAATATTTCAGCAAGTTTTTCCGGTGGAACATAAAAACTTCCATCTTCATCCTGAAATTTTGAAAATTCTAAACAATTACTATATGATTCATTAATAATAGTTTTTGATTAGTTCAAAAAAAAACCTTTTCTGATTATGGCACTGCAATTTACCCGTATGGCACTATCATTAATATCATTATCTGATGATATTATCACTATCATTGCTAAATGATGCAATCATTCGAGAGCATTATCACTAGATGATAATACTATCACAATCAGATGCCTCTATTGTTGCTGCATAATGTTACCAATCAGATTCCAATAATTTTTACTAATGACGAGATCATACTACTGTTATCAAATAGCATTATGATTAATAGATTCGATTATCGGATGATATATGTCATCATTAACAAGTGGTGGGTATCATCATTGTATAGTATTATCATTAATGTCATTGTCCCAGTGATGTTGTTATTATAAGATCATTATCACAAGATTATACTATCATAATCAGATAATTCTATTGCTGTCAGATGGTCCTTCTACTATCAGATAGCATCGTCATGATCAAATGACATTATCATTATCAGATGATAGTATTACTACCAAACTGTGAAATAGTATTATTATTGTTAAATGATCATCAGATAACATTATCATTATTGAATGATATTATCATTAATGGATGATATTATTTTATTAACTAACCAGTAAGAATGAACGATTTCAATTCCATATCCATTTTTCTTTTTTGTTGAGAAAGGCCAGTAAAATGAAATTTCGAGAATTTGAATTATTCCAAAATTTCTAAACTTTTTTCATCCTTTCTCAGTGAGGAAATAACTGTATATTTCCATTTGATACAGTTG